AATACCCATTGCTCATTATATCACAAGTCCTCCTTGATGTCCATCACCCAGTTACCCCCACCCTCCACCCCTCCAGCAACCCTCAGTTTGACTCCTATGATTAAAAATCTCTTATGGTTTATCTCCGTCTCTAATTTCATCGTCTTATTTTTCCCTCCGTTCCCCTATGATCCTGTTTTCTTTCTTAAATTCCAACATATCAGTGAGATCATATGATACATGTCTTTCTCTGACTTATTTCGCTTAGCATAATACCCTCTAGTGCCATCCACATCGTTGCAAATGGTAGGATTTCATTTTTTTGATGACTGAGTAGTATTCCATTATATATATATATATATATACACACACATCTTCTTTATCGATTCATCTCTTGATGGACATCTGGGCTCTTTCCATAGTTTGGCTATTGTGGACATTGCAGCTATGAACATCGGTATGCAGGTGCCCCTTCGGATCACTACACTTGTATCTTTGGGGTAAATCCCTAGTAGTGCAATTGCTAGGTCGCAAGGTAGCTCTATTTTCAACTTCTTGAGGAACCTCCATACTGTTTTCCAGAATGGCTGCACGAGCTTGCATTCCCACCAAGAGTGTAAGACGTTCCTCTTTCTCCGCATCCTCATCAACGTCTGTTATTTCCTGACTTGTTAATTTTAGCCATTCTGACCGGTATGAAGTGGTATCTCACTGTGGTTTTGATTTGTATTTCCCTGATGCCAAGTGACGTGGAGCATTTTTTCATGTGTCTGTTGGCCATTTTTGGATGTCTTCTTTGGAGAAATTTCTGTTCATGTCTTCTGCCTATTTCTTGACTGGATTCTTTGTTTTTTAGGTGTTGAGTTTGGTAAGTTCTTTATAGGTTTTGGATACTTAGCCCTTTATCTGATATGTCATTTGCAAATATCTTCTCCCATTCTGTCAGTTATCTTTTGGTTTTGTCAACTGTTTCCTTTGCTGTGCAGAAGCTTTTTATCTTTATGAAGTCCTGATAGTTCATTTTTGCCCTTGCTTCCCTTGCCTTTGGACGTGTCTAGCAAGAAGTTGTGTGGCCGAGATCACAGAGATTGCTGTGCTCTCCCCTAGGATTTTGATGGATTCCTGTCTCACATTTAGGTCTTTCATCCATTTTGAGTCTATTTTTGTGGGAAGAAATTGATTTAGATGAGGTTATAAGGGTGGGACCCACATGAGGGGATTACTATTCTTGTAAGATAAGGAGGGACCAGAGTGCTCTCCCCCACCTAAAAACACAGCAAGAAGTCAGCCATCTGTAAGTCAGTAAGAAAACCCTTATCTGAGAAGCAAATAGGCCAGCATCATGATTTTGGTCTTCCCAGCCTCTAGAACTGTGAAAAATAAATTCTTATGGTTTAAGCCATCCAGTCTATGGTATTTTGTTACGCATCATGAGCTAAGGAAGACACTATCAGAATGGGCAAAATAAATAATAAAAAATAATAATAAAATAAAAAAAGAATGGGTAAAATAAAAATTGTGACAATATCAAATGCTGGAAAGGATGCAAAGAAACATTCATACGCTGCTTGCAAGAATGGAAAATGGAAAACATTTTGGCAGTTTCTCACAAAACTGAACATTTAACTACCATACAACACAGCAACTGTACTCTTAATTGCACTTGGACCTGAGTACAGAATTTTTTTTTTCCCCCCCCGGAAGGGAGGGATGTGAACTCTTCATTATGGAGGGAGTTCTGAATGGACCAGAACAAAGATAGGATCTGGGCATTCTAGAGATGAGTGTTGAAAAAGGACTTCAGCTACCTCCATTTGACCTCAGTCTGTACTTTCTAATTGAGTTGCTCTTTCCAGTTATCTTTTAACTCAGGCAAAAAAACCCTACAGGCACAGGATCCCCTGATAGAAACCTAAACTACTCCTTCAAGCAATAAGAACTGCCCTGACACCAGCAAGACCCTGCATGACTGACCCAAAGGCAGTGATCAACCTGACCTTTACTGTCCAGCAGCACATACCCACGTACCTTTGTCCCACATTTTCCTTACATAAACCCGGAAGTATTTTCAGCACTTTGGATAGTCTTTGAGACATCAGTTAGCTGTCTTCCTGGTGTTGGCCTCACCAAAATAAAGTCCTTTCTTATTTCACCACTTGTCTATCTGCCTTTGGATCTTGTCAGTGGCAAGTGGCTGGCTCAACCTGGTCTGTTTGGGACCCCCCAGAACCAGGTGCTCTTGCTTGGGCCCTGGTTACAGTATGAACAGTACACAGTGTAGACAAATCAGACAACTGACATGAACTGTCCTCTAGAGCTACCAGGGTAGTGGGGCACACAGGGTCCTACAGCCCACTCCCCAAGGATCCCTTTGCCCATTTACCCCTCAAGCGCACACACAAGCAGCCAGCATCATGCATTCCCAAAGACAGCATTTATCTCAGAGAAATAAAGACTTACTGTGTTCACACAAAAACCGATATGTGAATGTTTATGGCAGCTTTATTCATAATGGCCAAAAACTAGAAACAACCCAAATGTCCCTCAACAAGTAATAGTTAAGCAAACTATGGTACATTCATATCATGGACTACTACTCAGCAGTAAAAGCAACAAACTATTGATTTACAACTGGGAAAAATTACCAGGGAATTAAGCTGGGGGGAGGGGGGCAGAAAAAGCCAATCTCAAAAGGTTATATACAATACTTTTGAAATGACAAAATTTAAAAAATGGAGAAACAGATTAATGGTTGCCAGGGATAAAGGACAGGGAAGGCACAAAAAGGCAAAAGGTGTGCCTATACAAGGGGAATAGGAGAAATCTTGTGGTGATGGACATGTTTTATATCTTGACTATAAATGCAAATACCCTGGTTATGATACTATATTACTGTTTTGCAAGATGTTACCATTTGAGGAAACCGGGTGAGGTGTATATAGAATCCCTCTGTATTACTTCTTATGACTATGTATGTGAACCTATAATTATCTCAAAATAAAAAGCTGAATTCAGAAAAATCAAGCAGACCTTTATGTAAAAATTGATTGATCTATATATTCAACATCCTTCTAATCAAAATCCCACCAAGTTTTTTATCTTTTGTAGAAATCAATGAGTTGATTTTAAATATTCATCAAGAACTGTACAGTTCAAAGGAAATGTTTCCTTTGATTTCTGAGAAGTCAAAAGCTTAATTAGGTAATTTATTTCATATTATTTTGTTCCATAATATAACCATTTGGAATTAAACTATGTTTTAAGTTCAAAGTTCAAAACTACTGCTGATTAAAATGTCATTTAAAGGCCCCTTTAACAATTCAGGTGCATCAGGTTATAATCTCTGCCCTAAAGAAAATCATGTTGTGTACTGTTAAGCTTAAATATAGATTAAATCAGACAACTGAAGACAAATGGCAAATGGCCCACAAAACTCTATTCTATAAAGTTTTGTTTCTATACATTCATCCTAAAATAGTTTATTGCCAAGCTTAAACAAAGGCAATAACTCCCACCACAACAAAATCATTTTTTAAAAAACAAGTCCAATAAAATTTAAATCACAATGCAAGTCCAAAGAAATGGGCTTTTGTCTGGTTAATAATGGGAGAGGGTAGCAGCTTTGTCAAAGACTGAGCTCAGCATTCCCTCTCTCAATTCATCTGCATTTCTATTTCCTAATGAGTATATCATGTCCTGTATCTCCTACTGATCAAGAGATCAGTAAATACCAGAAGACTTCCAGAAAATGAAGTCCTGTGAGGCTCTATCCCATGGACAAAAGAAAAAGCTGTACAAAGGGGATCTGGAAGGAGGGGCCAGGATCACACTACACTGGCATAATCACAACTTCAACATTTAATGAGGAGTCTTAGACATTTTATATCCTGTACTTATTTAACTAAACTATAGCTGATTCACTAAACACAGGAATTTTTGAAACATTAAAATATTTTTCTGGCACGTACAGCATTACCATGAATTAGCTGGAACCTGGCATACTGTTCTGCAAAGTTTATCTATCCCTAAACATAATCTGGCACAATACCATAGGAGAGAAACTAACATTCAAGGGATTCAAGCCTCCCCATAGTAACCTTTAATCTTTTTACTACTGTGACTCACATTTGACACTTCAAACCAGCACTCACACATATGCGTATTTATACAACACATACATCCCTGAAACTATTATTGCATAAAGTAATGACCCACACTACATGTCATGTGTTCTGGTTTTACTCTAACATCTTTATTTAGGTTCTAATTTTTTTCTCTTTTAAAAAGAGTGGTCAAAGCCCACTAACTCAATTTCATAACCTACTAAGGGGTCCCTATGCCACCTTCAATTTGAAAAACACTGCTATACAACTGTAGTTAAATGTTAACACTTGGGGAATCCTGATGAAGAGTATTGAGGAATTCTTTGTACTATTTTCTTTGTACTTTTTTGTAAATCGAAAATTTTCAAAATAAAAAATAAATTTAAGACCCCATCCAATTATCTTATCAGGGAATAAGATTGCAGAGGCAATGATGTCTCATATACCTCTGTATTTCCTAATTTTCCCTCCCCTTTCCTTACTGTCACACAATTCTTTACATATAGCACGCTCTCAATATACATATCCTAAATAAAACTTATGGGAAGGTAGAGATTAGAAATGACTTCATAATGGAGGTAAATCTTTAGCTGGGCCTTCAAAGCAACACAAGATTTCAGTTGGTGAAGTAGGAAAAAGAAGATATGCAAAGGGACACAGATTAAAAATTAACACTGGATTTCATACTTATAAAATGATTTTAATCTATTAATGAAGTCTCAAAGACCAAGAATAGATTCACAAAAAATCATCAAAGGCCCTATCAAAGAAAAATAAAAGGTGATGTATATTAAAAAATAAAATAAAATAAAAATCTATGAGTGTATTTAGTGTACTTATATAAACTTAATGAGTGCCAGGAATGAAGTCTACCCTCTCTCTCCTTAGAACATTATAAATTAGAAGTAAATATTATACCTCAAAATTCTGTTCCATTATGTTTCCACCTTTACTCAAACTCTCCATAATGGCCTTATTTCGAAGAATATCTTCTTCACTAAGATGTTCTCTTCTTTTTCTTGATTCTAAAACAAGTCCATTCACCAGATAAAAGTCTGCCAAAAAGTTTCCTACTCTTTCCTAAAACGAAATTAAATAATCAAAATAATAAAATATTCAAATATTTCAAAATAATAAAACAAAGTTTATCTTAGATTAAAAATAAAGTTTCAAAGTAATATATGTTTTTCCATAAACATATAACATTTAGGTGAAAATAAATGTCCTCTGGTAACTGAGCTTATCAAATTATCTTACACATTCTACTAAATTGAAAAATAAATTACACATTTCACATTTGTAAAGGAAAATTTAAAACACACAAATGAATTAAATCTAAATAAAAATACCACATAGTATTCCTTTAGAATCTACTCCCAAGTAGCACAAAGCTATCTGAAAACTTTATTTAGCTGATAGTCAAACATCATGAGTAACAAGGAAGGGTCAGGGATAATTGCTGTTCCCATTTTATAGATAGAAAAGAAAGTGGAATAAAAAGAAATATTCTAATTCACATAGGAATCTCTAGCACAACTAGAATTAATTACCTGCTCCAATACTCTATTCTCTAATAAGCTCTAACTTCAAGTTACAGTTGCTTGCTACTTTCAATAATGAAAAGAGAACAACAGAATAGTCTTACTCCCCAATACAATTACAATTAAGTGTTTACTTTATGGATTCGGGATAAGGAAACTCAAGTGATATAAATGATATCAAGGAAAGAGTTGTTATTTCCTTTCAATTAAGACTTCCTTCAACATTAACCTTCACCTTTTTCAGACCCATGGGTTGTCAGTTTCAAACACCTTACTACAAAAACCATGATCAGTAACTTACTGAAAACAAGCTTCCCATTTCTACCTGCATGCAGATCACTTGGTCTCCATTTTACTGATGTTTTCTGGCATTCCAAAACTATGTATTTAGAGTTGTTTCCATGTCCACCTTGCTTCTGGTGGCCTTGTTACCTGTCACCAAAAAGTAAAGCATTCTGCCCGTTTCTACCTACAAAATGGGAACCATAAGTATTACTGACTCCCTCCTTACCTGTCAAAGATTTAAGAAGATCACCTAGACTCTGTTCAACAGCTTTGAGCTGCTTAGCGGTAGCCCTAGATGAATAGCAGCTTCAATTTTTATCTTCTCTTGAGGTGATCCTTCTAATGCTGTCCAGAAGAACAGAGTACAAACAAATAAGACTTCAAGCCAACAAATGGATTGCAGTGTGGGAGCTCACAACTGGGAATCCTATAATACTATTTGTTGCCAGACAGGCTTAGAAAATAAAGTTGATGAGCCTACATCTAATAGAATTTATTTGTGGTTGAGAAATACTCAGGAGATAATTCTCAGTTTTTGAAATCTTATAATGAAAAAGCATTTATTAAAAGTAAATCATCATATAAATAAAAACTTTAAATATATATTCTTCATAATCCAGCCATTCCATTTTTTGTTATCTATAACAGACAATGCAAGGGCGTGTAAATGGATGGTAAACTCAACATCATTTGTAATAGTAGAAAACTGGACACAAATGTGTGTCATTCTTCAAAATGGCCACAAATAAGAGACTAGATAAATAAACTACAATATACCCATCCTATGGAATACTATGCGGTTGCTAAAAAGAATTAAGTGGTACTACTGATAAGAAAAAACTTTCTAAACATACTAAAGAGTGGGGGGAAAAAAACTGCAAAACAATAGACACAATATAACACTAAAAAAAATAAATAAATATCAACAACTAAAGCTACATAATACTTTGTAGAGGATTATGCATTTGTATATCCTCTAGATCTTTTTTTATTCTCTGCATAATCCTCTATAAAGTACTTTGGGGGTTGAGTAGTAATAAAGGGGTATTTTTCAGGTTTATTTATAAGGTTGTGTGGTGGTTAATTTTGTGTCAACTTGGCTAGACTATGGTGCCTAGCTGTCTGGTCTAACACCTGCCTAGATGTTGCTATGGAGGTATTTTTTTTAGATGTAATTAACAGTTGAATCAGTAGACTTGGAATAAAGCAGATTACGCTCCATAATGTGGGTAGGCTTCATCCAAACAAATGCAGGTCTTAGGGCAAAGACTCAAATTTCCTGAAGGAAAAGCAATTCTGCCTCAAGGCTACAACACAGAAACCCTGCCTGAGATTCCAGCCTACAGATTTTATACTCAAGACCACATTAACTCTTCCCTCAATTTCCAACCTGGTAGACTGCTCTAAAGATTTCAGACTGGCCAGCACCTATATTCATATAAGCCAATTCCTTTAAATAAATTCAATCTCTCCCACACCCTTCCCTCCTTCTCTTTCTATATCCATATCTTTATATATAGATATACATGTATCTACATGTAGATATACAGAGATACAGAAAGAGAGACCTCCTACTGATTTTCCTCCTCAGAGAACCCTAATACAACTTGTTTTTGTTTTTCCAGTAAGAATATATTCATTTCTATTGTGTGTAATAAAACATAATTTTTAAAGCCTAATTGTTAAAAGCAGTAAATCTTGGCCCTCACCTATGTGATGATTTCTTCTTTTTTTTTAAGATTTTATTTTTAAGTAATCTCTACACCCAATGTGGGACTCGAACTCACAAGCCCGAGATCAAGAGCTGCATGCTCCACTGACCGAGCCAGCCAGTCACCTCTTCTTAATTTTATTTAAAACTTTATAAAATGCTTCTTCATATGTCTAATTAAAAATTTTAAAATATATTTTGAATAGTCTTATATAACCTCTTACTGACAGATGAAATGGGAATTATGGAAAGAATTTACAATTCACTAATGAGGGAACATCCATGGAAATTTAATGACAGTGTTATAGAAATGGAAGTTTATTTAATTTTTTTTTTTAGGAATGTAAGCTTATTTTAGTCATATATAAGGATACTGAGAAACGGATATTGAGTGAGTAAATGGTTTAGAAGTCTAAAAGTAGAAAGAAAAAAAAGATCCAGGGAAACGAATTCAAAGGTGTATCCCTCTTTGTGGTCTTAAGGAATAAAAGCATTAGAAATGTAATGGAACCATGTGAAGACACTGTTCCCTGTAAATAACAAAGCAGCTGACAGCAAGAATCTTTCTCAACAAAATTCAAATGAGCTAAACTTTCTCTCCTGGCTTCTGTAAGTATATCTTCCAACTCTGTAAACAACCATTATAATTCCCTATCTGGATTCAGGAGGAGGGAATAAATCACTGGAAGACAATTCAGTAAGCTACTTCTTCCTGCATTTCCACCACATTATCTTGGCAACAATTTTGAACAATTTTTAAAGTTGAAAAATCAAGATTTATACATACTGTTTTATCTTCCCGAAAGAGCCATCCTGTTTGGGCACGCGTGAAAGAAATTGATTTGGTTGATAAAGTTGCAGAGTAAATGTCACTACTCATTAAAATGTCAACCTCTTCTTCTGTTTCCATCTCTGATTCCTGCAGTGGGGATAAAAGTTAAATACAAGAATCTAGGTTTTCAACGGTTATTAGTACTACATATGAAAATATCAACAATTAAAATATTACAGATTTCAAAAACCAAAAAGGACAGATTCTAAAAAATGTGAAGTGCTATTTTAAAAACCAATTACAGAAGTTTTAACTCCATATCTCTAAATGAGTTACAATTATGACTAATTATAAATCTATAAATACGGGGCACATGAAATATAGTACTCTTATACTGTTAGAGATAGGTCATGGAAGCAATACTGGATTACCGATTACAGCAATATAGAGTATGTAGAGCAATTTAAAAGATTAAGAATTAAGTTGAGAGGTCTGAGACAAAACAAGGTTTTCTTTAAATATAAATCAATCAATCTTTAATTCTTCTTCCTCCAAAGACCCACCACTATTATTTGAGCCTTTCTTTCCCAATAGCTGTTTGTGAAAGGAAGGGAAGGAGAAACGGAGGGAAGGAGAGGAGAGAAGGAAGAAAAGAGATCCTGTCTATATTCCTTATAGAAAGATAGGGAATCCAAAAATATCAACCCACGGTTCAAAACTTAATAATTAGTCTTGTTTCAGGTTTATCCTCTCCATATTCCCCAGTGCTGGTATATAATAATTTTTTTTTTAAATGAGAAAAAAAAAAGGTTTGTGCTTGCTTCAGGGACAGAAGACTAAATAAGCAGGCACAGAAGGGTAAATGAGTAGGTATAAAATGAGGTTCTATTCTGTAATAGGCCAAGAAGAGAATCTCTGATACTTAGGACAACAGGGTTCCAAGGGGAAAAAAAGGAGAAAAAAGGCAGAAACTAGAGAGGTGACTGGGGAATAAGAATGGTCCATAGGGTTTTATGATGACTAGAGGCTCTATTTCCCATATCTCCTGATTTCTAGCTTCCCAAGAGGCCCATTTTCTATTCTTCACCACCAAACTTCACCCAAATATAGTCCATTTCTGAATCTATGAGTCTATAGAAAAAAACAGCAATACCTTGGGATTGGGACAGTGCCATGTCCTTCACCCTTACAAGTGAAGAATGAAAAATCTTGACATTAATGCTAAAGCTGTAAGAGGTGAAAATGTAGTCCCGGTAACCAAACTAATTCTGAACACAATTTTCTAAAGAAAAACTTTGGCTGGCATAGGTGTAGAACTGTTAGGCATTATGTTTCAAATATACTATAAATCAATTAGGATTTCATGGGAACAATACTATATACAACACTGTTTATGAAGAAATTTGCCTTAAGTTTCAAAAACCCTCTTTTCAAATAAACTTTTGGAACAGAAGTCTTCTATAATCATAGACTGACCATCTCCTAATCACGTCATTGAAAAAGATCAATTGTTAATTACATTCATTCAACAAACATTTATTGAACAGTTATTATTTATGTATGTATATTAGGATAAACAACAACTATTCCCTGCCTTGAGGATTAATGTTCAAAATCTAGCTTTTCTATAATTTTTTAGGCATAAAATACATACACATATACCCTAAATACCAATCCTTTGGTGATCTCACTGATACTTTAACATTAGCTAATACTTACACTACTAGCCTTAATCTCTGGCTTCTATTTCAATACCATGCTTCTAGCTCACTTGTTGCCTAGTCAGCTATCCTGTTGTCTTTAATATGTAAGAGGTCAAATTATTTAATAAATTATCTGAGAGTCTAGAATAAAGGCTGGTAAACTACGGCCAGTAGGCCAAATCCAGTATACCACCTGTGTTTATAAATAAAATTTTATTGGAGTATAACCACACTCATTCATTTAAATACTATCTATACCTATTTTTAGGTTACTAAAAGTGGAGTTGAGTAGTTGTGACAGAGACCATCTAGCCCAAAAATATATCTAAATATCTAAAATATTTACTATTTCTCCCTTTACAAAAAGAGTTTGCCAAACTCTAGCCTGGAATGTACTGATACACTATATTAGGTACCAGAGAATACAACTAAAGGAACCACGGGGAGCAGAGGAAGAAAGCCATATAAATGAATATAGCAGTAGAAGTTCTATGGTACCAGATTTAGTGGGAGCATAAACAAAATAATGGTCACCTGGCAAAGGAGGAAGTAACACTAAGGAGGTGCCCCAGAAGTATGGAAGTGCAAGAAGAGCATTCCAGGAAGTGGAAACAATGTGAACAAAGGAATGAAGCACTAAATAGCATGGTACATCTGAAAAACTGCAAAGAGCTCAGTATGAGGGTATCTCACATAGTAAGGTAAAAACAGGCTGGAAAAGTGAGCAAAGCCAGGTCACAGAAGGTTCCACATAATGTTAAGGAATCTGGATTTCATTCTTTAGGAAACGGATCTTTCAAAGTATCTTTAAGGAAGGCAGGTTTCATGAATTTGCTTTCAATGTTCAATCTATCTCTGATACGTGGGATAACTTAGAAGCAGACAAGAAGGGGACCAGGATGATCATTTATGAGACTTCCACAACAGTCCAGTTGAGAGATTATGAACATCTGAATTGTGGCAGAAAAGGTACGATTAAAAAGAGATAATTATAAGGCATTAGGGAGACAGAAAGGACCACACCTGTCCTCTAATTAGGAAACATGGAATACAAGAAAATATTTCAAAAATAACTCACAGTTTTCTGGCTGAATAGAGAATGATGTCATTCATCAAAGGAAGGGCAATGGGAGAGAGGGAAGGTTTGGAGTTTGGAGGGAGAAAAAAAAGAATTAAGTTTTAGATGAGCTGAATTTTGAGGTACCCGGGAGACACACATGATATCCATTAGGAACTTAAGTAGATAGGTCTCCATTCAGAGATCTATCTAGGAGAGAAATATATACTTGTGGATCATCAACCTATAGTAGGTAGTTCAAGATGTAGGAATGGAAGAGATTATTCTGACAGTTTGTAAAAATGAGAACCACATTGAGGGTACATCAATATTCAATAGATGGCAGAGAAAAAGAACAGGCAAAGAAGAATAAGAAGAGAAGGGAAAAGAACAACTGATCAAAGTCAAATCCTAAGGAAATGAAAATTTTAAGAACTGAGTTACCAATAATAGACCAAGAAGTCTGATAAGACAGGGTTGAAGCAAGTACACTGATTTTAGCAAATGACTCAAAACTAACATCATCTAAAACCCCAAACCTATACATTTCCAGATCTTCTAATTCTATCATTGGCACCACCATCATTCCACTCTCCAAGGCAGAAGCACTACACTTAGCCTTAAATCTTTCTAATTCTTAATTTACTACACTCAAACTATTAGCAAATCACAATCTCTCATTCTTGGAAATGTAAGTCATAGTTTAAGTATTCATTGCACCATCCTAGTCAAGAGCCTTATCACTTCTCAACTGTAGAATTGTAAAGTTCCCTGCCTCTCATCTCTCCCTTTTCCCAGTCCATCCTACATACTAGTTGTGTGATCTTGGAGATGTCATTTAACATCCATAAGCCTCAATTTTCTAATCTGTAAAATGGAGATAACAAAACTATTTGCTCTGACAGATTATTTTAAAGATTTAATGAGAAAAGCTGTAAAGCACTTAAATTATTTGTGGATCAAATCAATACCTTATTTAAGAATCTATAATTCTCTGTTGCCAACTACAGCAGATCCTGTTATCTTATCTGGCTTTTAAAGCCTTCCATAAACCACATTCCCACCACAGTCAGATCTCTTTTCTGTCTCTCAAACAGACCATTCTCATTCCCACTTCCCTGACTTTATTCATCCTGTTTCCTCCCCAAGGAATACCTTCTTTTGCTTCCCCTCTTCCAATCTAAATCTTCACTGCTCACTGCTAGTTAGGAAACTATTTAATAGTACACACAGAACATAATTAAGGTCTCATCAATAGGCATGGTAGTAGGAAGTTCTAAACTGAGAAATATTAAGGAAGGAGCCACAGGATGTGGTGAATGACTATGTAGGGAAATGAAGTGATGAAATATAAAAACAAAAGAAAAGCAGGGTGCCTGGGGGGCTCAGTTAAGCATCAGACTCTCGATCTCAGCTCAGGTCTCAATCTCATGGTCATGAGTTCAAGCCCCGTGTTGGGCACCAGGAGAGAAGAGAAGAGAAGAGAAGAGAAGAGAAGAGAAGAGAAGAGAAGAGAAGAGAAGAGAAGAGAAGAGAAGAGGGGAGGGAAGGCAGGAGAAGGGAGGGAGGAGGGGACGGAAGAAAGAAAGAGAGGGGAGGGAAGAAGGGAGGGGAGGGGAGGGAAGAAGGGAGGGGAGGGAATGAAGAGAAGAAAAAAGAAAAGCAACAGTGGCAAAATAAAATGTTGATTTAAAAACATTTCTAAGGCTATCAATGATATATAGATACAGGGAAAATTTTTCTTTGGTTTATAGCAGGGAAAGGGACATTCACGGAACAAAGGATAAATGATTTTTCAATGGTGGTTGTAAAGGCAATACCAACAGGGAGATAATGATGTGACAGAAGGAGACACTTTTGTATTCTAAGAGGGAAAAGATAGAGAAAAGTAGCCAAAGAGTTAAGGACAGTAAAAGAGTACAAAAAAGAGTACAGACAGACAGCCAAAAGAGATGTTGCTATTAAGGAGATGGAGATGGTCAGCAACATTAAAAGAAGCTAAGGTAGCAAAATAATAAATGGTAAAAGAGCCAGCACAGGTTCAACAAATCAGAATTACAAATGAGAACTAAAAGAAGTTGGAGTTCATTTAACTAGGAGATCATCAGTGAATTATGAGCAAACGGTCCCAATGGAATGGTCAGGATAAAGACCAGAATATTAAAAAACAAAACAAAAAAACAACTTAAAGCTAGTAGTAAAGAAATGAAAGCACTGGGAATGAACCATCTCACCTATACTTCATGCCTTTTCAAACAATTACACTGAGGCTTGGTTACATACATAGACTTTTTAAAAAACCATTTAGAGAAATACTGATAAGACGACATGCTCACCTCATGGTGTATTCGCTGATAAACTTTCTGTTCATTGTCTAATACTACAAAAGATTCAGAGGGTGCCGCATCCCCATTGAAAATGAAGCTTAAATCCCCTCGTTGGCACTTCATGTCAGTAAAGTCTATGAGAGTAGTGTCAAGCCTGTGAAAGATGGGTAGATGAGAAATCCTGACAAATAAAATTTTGATAAAACTCCATAATTAAATACTTAAACAAGCTTTGTTGCTTCTAAATTCAAACCAAGATGCTAACACCATATTTCAAAGTCAAACTTAGAGTAAAAGCTAAAGTATTTTACTTAAAAATACTGAAAGAATATTTAAATGTATATTCTACTTTTCCTATATTTCATTTCCTGAATATATACTTTATTAATCCAACAAGAAAAAGATTGTTTCCACATTGTTCAAATATTTCCCTAACTATACCTTGGTTCCCTACCATTGCCCTTGCTGCAGTGACTCCATAAAAGTTACTTCAACTGTGAAGGGCATTAAAAGAAAGCAGACTTGTCTAACATTCTTTGATCCCAATAAGACCATGTTGCTAGCTCAGCAGAGTATATAAAGAGGGTACAGCAATGGATGGACCACATTCTTAGATTAAAGACTGTGTGTCCAGTCTTGCTCTTTTGATCTACATCTATGCCTTAGGCCTAGGCTTCAGATACCAAACCTTGCTTCATCCTTCAACTAGATAAATCATTTAACTTACTCCAAATTCTTGTCCTTTCTGTTTGACTTCCCAGGTTCAGATTAGCAGTCGCTTTCCCATCATCTCCGTAGCCTAAAAACCTTATGGATCATTCATGTGCCAAAGATTCATGGACTCACACACTTGTGTGTTTAAGGTCCTCTTTGGTAACCAAGACCTGGCATGGTCTAGCCCAGTGGATTGGTCTCAAATAAATTCCACAAACCACTGCTTGCTGAATTTAGGGAATGTAGTAGAATGGAAAACTTCACAAGCACCCCAAAGTGCTTCAATCTTTCACTAGGCTTTATAGGAGATCACATTAGGATCTCTCTTACTGGCTGCTCAAAACACAGCACTTAATCTAAAAAATGGGTTAACACAGCTGTTAAGAGCTGCTGACCACACACCCTAGCTACTGAGTTTTTAAGAATTCATTACTTCATAAGTTATTCAATTCTCATCCCAGACTAGGTAAAGGGAATGAGCATTCTTGGTTTCCCTACACAGAAAAATCTGAGAACTGGAATATATCTTATATGCTGCATCAAAAGAGTAACTGGGGTTACATATAATTTATCAACAAAACTAGTACCTTTTAAAAGTGAAGGTAATACCATTAAAATTTTGCCAGGACAATAGGGAGGAACCAAGAGCAAACAGGGAAGTAAGGTTACCTTATGTACAAGGGCCTCCTTTCTGAGCCATATAAAATGTATACATCCCCATGGGGTGCCTGGGTGGCTCAGGTGGTTAAGCGACTGCCTTCGGCTCAGGTCATGATCCTGGAGTCCCTGGATCGAGTCCCTGGATCGAGTCCCGCATCGGGCTCCCTGCTCGGCAGGGAGTCTGCTTCTCCCTCTGACCCTCCCAACCCTCCCCCCTCTCATGTGCTCTCTCTCTCAGTCTCTCTCTCTCAAATAAATAAATAAAATCTTAAAAAAAAAAAAATGTATACACCCCCAGAGAATGAAATCAAGAAGCCCTAAAAAAAGCAAGTCACCAACTCCCATAGGGGTGAATCCTGCCTGCTGCTTTATAGCTGAATTCTACCTCCTGGTCCACCTCCAGGGGTCTGCTACTGTACTACTAGTGCCTGTACAACTAAACCTGTGTTATGTGGAATAACAGAAAATAATGCCAGCAAAAGAGGCTCATCTACCACTGCAAGACGTAGGCTACGGATAATATCAAAAGGAACAGATCATTTTATATAAGTGGTCTATCTGGACTTCAAGCTTCAGCTACCAGGGAACTCCACACCCCACATAAAAGAGGGAATGAAACAGAACAATCTCATGTCTCCATTTCCTTCTTGCCTATCCTGGATGAAAGTGGTAATGGGTTGGAAGGAGTGGAGATAAGAGGAAGGGGTGGAGATAATGATAGTGAAGGAAGAGATGCACAGAGAGACAGAGACAGAAAGACAAAGACAGACTGACATGGTGACATTTGAACCCTTAGATATAGCCACACCTAAAATCACTCATAGTCAGCTTTTATTTCATTTCTCTTTTTTATAACTTGCAACTGAAAGGAGACTGCCCAGTACATTTTCTAGAATATCCCTGACATATTAGATGGCCTACTGTATTACACATGCCTCATAATGATATAATTTATCATGATGGTATTTTAATGTATTAACTAGTCCTTGCTTTAAGCCTTTAAGTATTTTTAATTTTTGCCATGTAATTGGCCATGAAAAACAAACAAAATTGTATATAACTGCAAAAATTTGAATAACAAATGTTCAAAAAAAAGAAAAAATCGAAAACGTTCTTTTTGAGAAAAAAGCTTGAAAAATGCCAAGTAACAAAAAGAATATAGAACCTTCCCTTGAGACAGGAAAAGCCTGAAATGAGACAAAGTTTGCCCTGATTATTTCAGTCAGTGGTTATAGATTACCTCATAATTATTAACAGTGAAAATGCTTACTAATATTCTCGAACAATAAAGTTACTCATACTTTCCTATTTCCACTAAACTATTCATTTCTCCTTGACACCAGAGAAGATATTTTAAATGATCACATGGCTGTCATGAAATAAAAGTAAACTTTAAATAGAGTTCTTTGAACATATTTTAAAAATCAGTTTCATTTGAAGTGATGTTTTAAAAAAAACGGTCTCATGATGTTTACATTTGAAAGTTATTTAATGTTAATGAGATTCTTCTCATCTATGCAAAAAAACCCTTTGCCATACATCCTAAAACCCAGCCTCTCCATTAATCTGGTAAACTTTGGTAACGAGAGCTTTAGAACCTATCACATTTCTCCTTTATCCTCAGCTGCTTGTAAGTCCCAGGTCTGAGTGTCTTGCTAAATTATAGTAGCTTCCCCTTACTCTGTATTCTCTGACACAATTATTCTCCCTCAAGCTCTTATTCTTATGTCTCTATTTTAACCATTTTGTGGTTTTATTATCTATATTTATTATGTAATATGCATATCATTTACTTTTAAAAGTCATATATAAATGTGAAATAATTTTTTAAAAGAAGCTTCTTCTTTCCTAAACCTAAGACTCAAACAAAACTAAAACTAACCTTTTTTTAAAGTAGATATGGAAAATAATAATATTCTCCCAAATTATCTACTATCTTTGGCAAGCACCTAAACATTGTTAAACTGATGAATAATTTTTGATGAAATCATAATATAATGTTAATAGGCTGCTGAAATAAATCTACATGATTATCAAATCCTTTCCTAGTTTTTCTTCTTTATTTTTCTGTATTTTGCAAGGTTTCTATAATGACCATGAATTTAATGTACATAAGCACTTCCATAATTAGAAACATCTGAAGAGGTTATTTTTTAAAAACAAAAACCAGAAACTTCTACCTTAATCAAATTCTACTGCTTGAGAACAATTACCCTAGAACTTACTTTCAACTAAAGATTATCTCTTCACTGTAACTCAACATAACTCATAATTAATCTCAGAGCTGACTTTCTAAAATTTCCGCTTTGTGACATGGTGAGAACGAACAGGAAATCAGAGGTCCTGGCCCAGCCATTAATTCACAATATGCTCTTATAAAAATCACTTCACCTCTCTAAATTTTCTCATCTATAAAACAAAGAGTTTTTATGAGATCATCTCAAGATATTTCCAGTTCTAGACCCTTACATGTCCAAATTAATATTTTGGAGATATGGGGAGATATAGATTTATAAAATTATTGATATATAATTTATAAGTACACTAATATACATATAAAAGTTGGCATATTTACTAATATTATAGACATCTTACATATGTATAATTTATAAATACACCTATATTAATATAAAGTTTAAGATATAAAGAATGATAAAAATAAAATTCTGAAATGAGTAAATACCCATCAGATCCAAAAATCAATTTTAATTTTAAAAAGAAAAAGAACAAAATTAAAATTAGCCTTAGAGTGTTCACTAGAAGGAACAGATGATTAGATAGATGCATGGATAGACAGAGGAGGGAGGGGTATGAGAGGGATGGAGAAAAAAGGACAAGAGTTGGGTCTTCCTTATGTGTCTCCCTATTCCTTAAAAAGTCAGGATCAGAGAGATGATCATCTTAAATCTTCTCATTTTAAGACCTTTGTGATCTTCACCCTGTTTGCCTTCTAGTCTGCAGCTGAATAAGAATTAATACCTTTGATTCAGTCAAGATTTTATCTTTGGTTCCTTCTCTATAGGATGTCTCAAATAAGATAAAATATTGTGAATATATTACAGCATGTTTAAGTTATAAAATAATACATCTAAATGTAACCTATTAATGCAGAAAGAAAAGCTTCCTCTAAATCTCAATTTTCTGTTACTCAGAAAAAAATCAAATCACCTTACCTGATATTGATACCTTGTTTGTATATTTTACATGCATCAGAAGGCAGAATTCGGGAAAGTAAAGGCACTGTATTTTTAAAAAGAAAAGATAAAAAATACCTAAAGTTCTGAGACATTACAAATTTCTTAATTAGAAAAACAGTAACTTAAACATTTTATTAATTTTAATAATTTCCTTTAAAATAGTATTTTCCGCTTAAAAATGATATATAAAGCAATTCTGAGCAACTTCAAATATCTACTATTTAACTGTAATTGCTATATAGTTCACCACTTTGCCCACCCACCCACCCACAAACACACACATGAATAGCAGAGTCAATACAGTGCCACTCTTGGGTACATATTGTAGGACATTATTATAGAGGAGAAAAGTGCCTTATGACAACTAAACCATCCTGAATGGGTAACCCGATGAGCCTGGATCCTTTCTGATCCTTTAAATATAACCTCATTAAATAGTAGGAAAGTAATGCGTCTTAAAAAAAAAAACAAACATTTTTAGAGCTAATAGTCTAATTTGAGTTTGAATTCCAAATATGTGACCTTGGTTACTTAAACTCACTCTACCTCAGCTTAAAAATCTGTAAAATGGAATCACACCATTTACCTACAGATTTCTACATCCAGTGTTGTCCACATTCATATCACAGCGTATTCTGAAATTTTTTATTATTTATTATCTGCTACGTTTTGGGAAATACAAGTTATTCTACTGATGATAAATCTGCATACAGACTATAATAAGCTACCACATACAAAAGAAGAAAAAGAAAAAATGTGAAGCCCAAAATACTTGAAATCAAGATCACATCACATATACATAGGTATATAAGAATGTGTGTATGTATAAGATATACTACATGCGTATTTTACAAAACTCAGTGTTATAAAAAGGAGTGATTAAGTCAACCTTGGTTAGAAAGAAACAAAAGCTTTAGAGAAATTAAAGGCTAGTTTTTTAGTTAACTTTTTAAAAAGCATCAATATTTTCTAATTAACATAAAAAGTATATTAATATATCAATGTCTTTTTTAAATTCTTAGAGGTCATATAATCCAAAATGATTTTCAGCATTAAAGACAGTTTTCTAGACATTTTATTGTACAAAAATAAGAAAAGTTACTGCCCAAAGGGAATATCAACTAACAGTTACCCTAGTCAAAGAATGTAAGTCATTTTCTTCTTCTTTAAATTAGTTTCAGAGGTAGAATTCAGTCCATTTATCAGTTGCATATATACAATGCTCATTACATCAAGTGCCTTCCCTAATGCCCATCACCCAATTATACCTTCCCCATACCCAACTCCCCTCCACCAACCTTCAATTTGTTTCCTAGAGTTCAGTATCTCTTATGATTTGCCTCCCTCTCAATTTTCATCTTATTTTTCCTTCCCTTCCCCTATGTTCATCTGTTTTGTTTCTTAAATTCCACATGAGTGAAATCATATGGTATTTGCCTTTCTCTGACTTGTTTTGCTTAGTATAATACCCTCCAGTTCCATCCACGTTGTTGCAGATGCCAAGGTTTCATTCTTGTTGATGGCTCAGTAACTATTATCTGATAAAAAAATTTTTCCTTATATGAAACAACAGAAGCTGAGAACAGCAATTAACAGCATTTATCTTATATAAATGATCAAAGCACTTCTTTAATGCTCTTTAATCAAGATCTAGTTTTCCTATCCTTAAGTATTTAGTAGAGCATGAAAAAGATAATTAAAAGACAGCACTCTAATTTGTTAATTTAACTTAATTTATTGCATCTTTTGAAGTAGTATGGTAATCTGCAATAACAAAATTTAGAATTATGTATCAATACTTATTTATCAAAAAACAGAAATGCAGGAACAGAGAAATACAGAGATTGAAAAGCAAAAGCTAATAAAAAGGAAAAAAGGAATATCATAGACAAAAAAAAAAGCTTTCTTCTTGATTTTAATACATTCCAAAAATGGAGCAATTTGCATTTTCCCAATTCTGTGATGATTTTTTCCTCCCTCATATAAACTGAACAATCAGGTTCTCTATATCTTAAGTTATCTCAGGATAATCTGAGAGTTTAGCATAGCACTACAAAAGTAGCATAATTCACTGAACTGAAAAAAGAAGAGTCTCTACCTTTTAATTTTGGTTTTGCTGTCATTTACACCTTGATCTTAAGAACAGTTTCTAAACCTAATGTTTTCCATCCACAATACACAAATAATAGTCTCAAATACAGAATGGATATTCTGTAGATTATGAGATAAAGACTTTAAAAACTATTAGTTTTTCTGTCTAAATGTGCTATATACACAAAGCTAAATTTGAAGTCATGATTATTATGATACTATAAATTATTTAATGCTTTTACAGTAAGTATATAAAGGGCTTCCTTCAAAAACATAGTTTCATTTCATCCACATCAAAACAAAAGCTTGCAATATCTGGGGCAGATATTATCCCCATTTAAAAAGGAAGACACTGAGGCTCAGGAAAGGTACGTGATTTGCCACATCATATAGGAGCCAGTACTTTTAATTCCAATTTAAAGCTTTTCTGTATCTAAAAACCTAAGCTGGAATAGTTTGGTTTACTTGCTATTAACCAAGTCTGAGGCTATTTTCAGCCAAACACTAAATATAACACTATGAGAAAGAGTGTGCATGCTCCACTACCTCTAATTAAACCTAATCCTGGATCTCAGTATTTCCTAACTTCCCCTTATTTCTGGGTTGCCCTTTAATTTTTTAACATCAGGGTTATTTTTTAAACAAAGTGTCATGTTTATTTAGCATTTTATGTTTGCAAAGGGAATTTATAAGTTCTTCCTTCTTCTTCTTTTTCTTTTTTTTAAAGTAGGCTCCATGCCCATCATGGGACTTAAACTCACAACCCTGAGATCAAGAGTCGTATGTTCTACCAACTGAGCCAGCCAGGTGCCCCAATATTAGGGGTTTTGACAATGGAAAGAAACATGCCTAAACTCTAGAAAAAAGCTTACTAATCAAATCTAACAATAGGGATTTATCCTGTGTTTTTTTAATCCAAAGTGTCTAAATTAAATCTAGTCAATGAGCTTAGTTTTTAGAATAACACATGATATATAACCATTAGGTGCTAGTAGTTTTGACATGAAATCAGTAAAATCCTTTATCAACAATGAAACAGATGTCCTAACTTTTTTGCATCAAAGTCAAGTTCCCAAGTGGAAGCAATATTTTCAACAAATACCACGTGGTTATGTCATGAATTTGATTATGCAACATTTATAATGTTTATAACTATAGATATATGTACAATTTCAGCAGTGATTACATCCATTTTTGTTTCTTCATATAATTGAAATGTTACTTTTAAAATACTTTAAAACATTTGCTCAGCAAGATAAATTGACTATTTTAGAATTTAAACCACTAGCAATTTCTTGAGAATCAGTTAGAGCCAATATACTCAGGGACTACCTTGAATATAAGATTGCCAAGCAGGCCTGGGGTTTTTACAGATGGAAAAAAAGAAAAATGGGTAAAAAAAATGGTATTTAGGCTTTACACCAATCTGACTCGGAGTTCTTTTATTTTACAAAGATATTACAAACCTCTTTTTCTCTCAGTGTTCTAAAACACCTGGACTCTGAATGATATAGAAAGCATAAAGGCAAGGTAGGCCTACAGAGTAACAAAATCATGTGTGATTTTGATGGAGCCAAAACTAACCTAACAAGCTAGAGTTGTAACAATGTTGGAAAAAACTAACTACATTAGAAACCAAAACTTTACATTTAGAGATTAAACACACTACAAAAATCTTATTCATTCATGCTATATATTATTATGTAATTGTTAAAATAAAGTACTTCCTCATGAACTAATATGGAAAGATGCCTATGATATATTATACAGAAATGACAAACTGCATGATGATATAATGGCATGATCCCATTAAAAAATAATTCTGAGGATATATACACATATATGTATGTATTTGTGTGTATATACACACATAACACTTGTATAAACTTTGAAAAGGGTTTGAAAGCATTCACGTGAACAGTAACAGTGATTTTTATAGTTGTCAATATCTGATTAGTTTGATGATTATTTTGGGGATAAATATCACTGAGCATTCAAATATCTTTGTATCATAGAAATTAATTCAGATGCTTTAAAAAACGCATGTAAGCTCATCATATCCAAGCCTATATATAGATTACACTGTTTTTAAGTCTTCAAAAAAACCCCCAAATTTAGTTGTTTTAGTAGTTGCTTAATTAGTAAAGGTCACTAGGATCAAACTCCTACTATTTAGACATGAAGGTTTTCTCCCTAAATGGACTGAGGTTTAAAATAGGGAGCAGGGAAACTTACCTTGTCGAGATAAATCATTAAATGACTGCAAAATATCTAGGGATTAAGGTTTTATAAATAATTGAAACAGTGTGCAACCAAACAGTATGTTAAGAAGTAGCTATATAGTATATAATAAAAGTGGCAAAAATGATTGAAAGATGACAAAATATGCAAAATCAAATAATGTTAACTGAATTCTTCTCATTCAGGGATCTAAGTATTATATTTTGAACCTCCTTAAATTCAGTAATCTAATAACCCTATAATTATTCTCTTCCCTTCGCGAATTCCTTGTATTTATTACAATATTCAAGCCAATTTTTTTTGTTAAAAAAAAAAGATAATTTTTAATCTTAAAAATAAGACTTTTGAAAGTTACTGATTAGGTTGGCTTTATTACCATTACATTCAATGTGATGAAATATATTTAATTTTCCTTAGAGCAAGTATCAAATTTGCTAACATTTCTATATAATAGCTATTTTTGACTTGCATTTCTGCATGTGTACATATTTTACAGTAAAACATAGCACACTCTTACCCCAGCTTTGAAAATCCCAGTGAAGTTCCAGATAAAAGTCACCTAGCTGAGAAACAAAATAGAAATAATTACTGAATGCACCTTAGTTTAACAGCTCTTATATCTGTTGAATATTTTGTTTTTTTAAAAAAATCTATTATCACTAAAGGTCTATAGACAAGAATAAAAAGTAGTTTCAATTTTTGGAACTGGAGGGAAAAAATATGGTTAAATTACTTAAAATAAAACGTTACAATAGCACACACTATTATACTTATCTACAAAGGAAAATATGCACCAACTGTAGATTTTACAAGACTATTTTAACCACATTGAAACATATCTGAAACTGACAGGCATTTAAACTGGTATCAATAAATAGTTCATTTCTCAGCATAACCAAAATAACAATTAATAACTATAACTGTAAAAATAGCTAATAACTTTAGGTGTGTTATAGAATATAACTTCCAAAATGACTATTTGTGAAGCCTCATAATGGACTAAGAAAATGACACTCTGAAATAGAAACTTTTTTCTATAAAGTGATAAGTTTACTAAATCTGAAATATGAAATTACATCATAAGAGATGTAAGTTTGTATTTCACAAATTAGAAGCTAGATAGCAAAGCCTATAACTGTTAAGGAAACTACTGTGATCAAATATTCTAAAAAAAAAAATTATCTCTTGAGATATAAAACCAAAAATCATACTTCAGAGGAGACACAGTTAACATGATAGGTATATGTTCCACAGTTCTTTCAGACATCAAAAATACACTGGACAAAAATAACAGAAAACAAAGCTCTCGTCCTTTCTGTGTCAGCACACCCAGCTCTTACCATCATGATGTAGGATAGACAAAAAGAGTTTTGTTATATAAAAAAAATGTTGTTCCTGGAGCAGATAGTGGCTTCAGCTCTTAGGGAATCTTCCAATCCAAAGTACAAAAGAAAAAGTATTGCCTTTAGTTATGATCTACCTCCTTTTCTCTTAGAGCTCTTACCTAATTGATTGAAAACAGTAATTCTTTATCTGCTTTCCTAGTTCAAAGTAAACGGTGCTTCCATAGGATTAAATTTATCCATTATAATCAGGGTATTTTGTTTTATCATTATTGCTTAATTCAAACAGGATTTTTACCATTTCTTGACTTAATAATCAAGCGATTAGACTGCCTTTAAAAAATGCTAAAATTAACGAGTCAGGAAATGACAGATGTTGGCGAGGATGCAGAGAAAGGGGAACCCTCCTACACTGTTGGTGGGAATGCAAGCTGGTGCAGCCACTCTGGAAAACAGTATGGAGGTTCCTCAAAAAGTTGAACATAGAGCTACCATACAACCCAGCAATTGCACTACTGGGTATTTACCCCAAAGATACAAATGTAGTGATCCGAAGGGGGTACATGCACCCCAATATTCATAGCTGCAATGTCCACAATAGCCAAACTATGGAAAGAGCCAAGATGTCCATCAACAGATGAATGGATAAAGAAGATGTGGCATATATATACAATGGAATATTATGCAGCCATCAAAAAAAAAAAAAAAAACACCTTGCCATTTGCAACGACGTGGATGGAACTAGAGGGTATTATGCTAAGCGAAATAAGTCAATCAGAGAAAGACATGTATCATGTGATCTCACTAATATGAGGAATTCTTAATCTCAGGAAACAAACAGGTTTGCTGGAGTGGTGGGGGTGGGAGGGATGGGGTGACTGGGTGATAGACAATGGGGAGGGTATGTGCTATGGTGAGCGCTATGAATTGTGTAAGACTGATGAATCACAGACCTGTACCCCTGAAACAAATAATACATTATATGTTAAAAAAAAAAAAGAAGAAGAAGAAGATAGTAGGAAGGGAAAAATGAAGGGGGGGAAATTGGAAGGGGAGACGAACCATGAGAGACTATGGACTCTGAGAAACAAATTGAGGGTTCTAGAGGGGAGGGGGGTGGGGGGATGGGTTAGCCTGGTGATGGGTATTAAAGAGGGCACATACTGAGTGGAGCACTGGGTGTTATACGCAAACAATGAATCATGGAACACTACATCAAAAACTACTGATGTAATGTATGATGACTGATGTAACATAATAAAGTAAAATTAAAAAAAAAAGAACAAGATGATTAGAAATAAGATTACATACTTTTTGAAATATTTATTGTCTGACAAATTGGTTTGTTATTACAGGGGACCGAAAAATAATATCTGGACACACTGAAATAACTCCACAAACTTTTAAGGTATTATTTTAACATTAAAATTAACAAGTAAAATGAAAAAAAAATGCTTAAAAGTAAACTTATAATTACTCTTTAGGTACAAGACTGGCAAAGAGATAAGGCCTACCTCTTTTAGGGCTTTTAATAATCGAGGTCGTTTTTCTTCAACACTTTCCCTGGATTGCTGCTTAAGCTTCCTTAAAAGAGCCGTAACTGAAGTTTAAATTAAAAAAAAATTTTTTTAAATAAATTTCACCATGCTAGATTGTCAATTATAGCTCAATTAAAAAAAAATTTATACCAAAAAACCCTTTTTGCCATGTTAGAAAACACCACTAGTTTATTATACAAAGACATATATCAATATAAACATTATAAATAAGTTAATAAGTTTAATAAAACTGTTATGAACTCCAAGGAAAATTGAGAAGAGATACCTCAACATGAACTTACATTCACACTAGTTTTCTGAGTTTTTAATTATCAGTGAGGATGTACCTGAGTGAGCCAAGATTAACCAATCTCAGTCAGATGATTCAATGTCCTGTTGTAACACTGATCTAAAAGATCTCAAAGACAGATCTCAAAAATCCCAGTGGATATTACTTTTATAAAAATGTAATTATTTGTAATTGTTACTGGGTGTATCTGTTCTTTTCTCCCTAGAGGTTGTACTCTCAAAGACCACCACATAGCAAAAAAAATACAAAAACGAATCCTCTTTTACCCATGAAAAGAACTTCTGAATCTAATAAAACCCGAAGCCCTCCATAGTGTTTTCTCAATATTCAGACTGAGATTTAGACATATTGCCTAAGTGCAAACCACAGCTTTACTAATTATTAGCTACATGTAAATGGACAAGTTACTTAATTTCCCTAAATTTGTTTCTTTTTTTCATTTGTCAAGTAAAAATAAAGTAAAATCTATATGGAATTTCTGTAAAGGCTCAATATAAATTGCTTACTACTGTGCCTGCAATTAAGTAAACATAATTTTTACCTATTAGAATAAAGGTCTAAAATTGACTACCAAAAATCAATCAGTCCCTAACATTTATTGAAATAAGGGAAAATATTAGACTTAAATGAAATAAGCCTAACAAAAGATAAGAAGATAGAAAATATGCACTGGGGGAAAAATATGTACATCACTACATGCTGACTTCCTCCTAGTCCTGACATATTTTTCACATACATACATACTTATGTGTATACATATATATTCATATACATTAAAATACTATTTACTATTTTATAATATGCATTCTTATAAACTACTTAAAGCCTTATGTGGAATACAGAAGCAAAAGGTAAAAAAAGAAAAAGAAGAAAAGACAGCAGTGAAAGCTTGGACCAGGTTTGTTTTGTGTGCAATGGCCAAATAAGGAAAAGCCCAGAGAATAAACTGAAAAACAGTGGAATCTATTCTTACTTTGAACCACAGTTCTAACCATAACCATAACTGTATCTTAAAAAGTAAAAAATCAAAGAGCAAATTTAAATTACTCATGGCCTTCTGGAACAACAGAAGAGGCTGAGATGAGACGCAGAAGCCAAGGTGTGGGACCTCATCTCATCATACAGTCCTACAACTAGCTTTATGACCTAGGTCAATAGTTTCCAAATATAAGTCTACATTTCAGCGCCCAACTGTTCAAGTTCCCAGTGATATGCACTAAAATGAAAAAAAAACTGGGAACCAGGTTGGGATTTCTTTTTTATTTATAAATTATATACTTTTTTCAATTTAAGGACTATTCTTTCTGGTATTTTTGGTTTCAAAATGTCTTCTTTTAATGAAATGGTGGCCGCAGAAGAAAGTAATTAACTTTTTTAAAGTTTTTACATGCTAAAATGAAATGTTAGCTACTCTACATCAATCCTCAAATACAATTTTTTTCTGGTCTGTGAAATCCAAATAGTCTGAGAACTAATGACCTGTATAATCATTAAAGTTCTTTCCAGATTCAAATTTACATGAATCTGGCTAACCTCATGTTTGTTATAACTTAACTTTAATATCAAAGCTGTATTACCCAAATGTAGTAGAATTCTTTTTATAATTCTTCTCCACTATAAGCTCAAGTATTTTAATAAATCTTCCTTGCCTTCAAGGAAGGCAATTTGCCTTCAAATTCAAACAAACCTCTGTGAATGTAAGGAATGAAAAGAATTCAATTCATAAATAGAAAAGATATCTTAATGAAAAGCAGAAGTCATATTTTTCACCAGGTAAGTATATTGAAATTGAACGCATGCAGTAAATAACAATTACATTAAAATGGCCAAACATTATAAAAAGATAGTGACAAAGAGATTTACATTACATTAAAAAATAACATCAACTCAAATTTCTTACAGAAACGGAAACAAACATTCAGAATGCAATTATACAAAATTAGCAATACGTTTTTGTGGAATCAGGATTTGTACTCCCATACTGTTAAGAAACACATAATGATGACTGATAGTAAGGATAAAATTAGCTTTGGAGGATTTGGATGGTATTAGAATTCATACAAAGACTCAAATGAAGAACTCCAATAAACCACAACTTATTTAACTTTCTCTTTCCTTCTTTTCCCATACAAAGTACTTTTTTTTTTTTTTTTTAAGATTTTATTTATTTGTTTGACAGAGAGAGAGATAGCAAGAGCAGGAACACAAGCCTAGGGAGTGGTAGAGGGAGAAGCAGGCTTCCCGCTGAGCAGGGAGCCCGATGTGGGGCTCGATCCCAGGACCCTGGGATCATGACCTGAGACGAAGGCATATGCTTAATGACTGAGCCACTCAGGCACCCAACAAAGTACTTTTTAAACTATTCAGTTGGTTGTGCCTAAAACCTTTCGAACTATGCCTTCCTGCTCCAAGAATCACTTAAATTTGTATTTTCTGCCCTCCACTTCCTTCTATGCTTCAGAATAATTATTTCCCACTTCTTACTTAGATGGTTCTGTGGACATACCATAAATAATTCAAACTCAACAAATCTAACATTAAATTAATTAAATCCCAGACTGATACCTCTCTGATACTGACCTGGGCTGATGATCACTGTTTACCACGTAACCATCATAAGGCAGAAAAGCAACATAATCTTGAAATGTTATTAACTCTAAAGTGAAATAATTCTTTTTTTTTTTTAAGGTTCATTTTTTAGTAATCTCTACACACAACTTGGGGCTCAAACTCACGACCCTGAGATCAAGAGTTACATGCGTTTCCGACTAAGCCAACCAGGCTGCCCCCACACCAAGTGAAATAATTCTAAATAGTCTCCGAAAAATATAGTATCATCTCACTGTTCTGTAGCACAAAAACATCAGCAGAAATCAGACCAAAAAAGAAAAAGGTCACAGTTTTTGCTAATAATTTATAATATCAGATTATATTTTGCTAATTAGATAATATTTCAGTAATAATTGTATTAGATTATCTCTGATTTTTCAAATAATGTAATTTTCAGACCCATTTAATAACATTATAAATATATCCATATATTTCTAAATATGTAGCTTAAGAGTTGTTAAATTTACTATTCTTTAAGTTAGCAGTTAAATATTTCCATCTCATGTGATGGGAAATAATTTATAAAAAGCACTGAATAATTATGGATATATAATGATACAATGATTGGCCATGGAATACTATTCAGAATGTGTATCTAAGACATCACTCTATAGAAGAAAATCACTTTAAAAGCAGATCTCAACTACTATGGGCCTCAATCTTTTACATTAAAATCCAGTAACTGATTTTCCAAGAAAACTGTTTCTTGGCCTTCTCAATAGATTATAAGTTCCTAAAGAGCAGAGACTATGTCTTCATTCTCCACATCTTACTATACATACATGCTTTATAGTAAGAACTAAATAAATATTCACTGACTCTAAATAAAAGTTAGGTGAAAGCTACATAAGTCTCAGTGTAAGTCAGAAACCCAGGAGTCCATCTGGTTTCCTCTCCATTCTGCTAATGGGTTAGAAACATCAGAGAAAGTTCCTTTAGACTGGTTGCTGCAACTTTTAATTTATTCTCAGTTTGTTAGATCTGTACATTTTTTTGTCTTTTCCCTGACATAATTCTAGGATTATTATGGTTTCTTACTCTCAGAGTCTCTTGATTTTGTCCAAAAAGGACAACTGTCAATGAATAACTATATTTGTGTGTGTATATATATATATACACACACACTCATATAATTGTTAAATCATCACAATTTTATCTCATTAAATCCTAAGCCCAAATATAACTTCACCATTAAAAGCTGCCCAAAATGTGCAGAAAGTCCACAAAGATGTAGTATGTGGATTAAATATAAAGCTAAAACATAAGAGCCCAAAATGTGGCACCAAATAGAACTAAATCCACGTAACATTCCAAGGTGTTCAATCTTAATGCGCTTCTTTAATAAAACTGCCCAATTTTTACTGTTCCTTCCACAAGTCGAGATTTAATTATTTTCAACCTCAAATTGTAAAAAGATATTACCAGAAAGATAATATTCTCATTCATCCAGATTTAAATTTTATAAAATTTTCAACTATTGAGATGTGCTTGACAAAAATAAAACCTGTATATGAAGTTGGAAAAAAAAAAAAGAAAACTTAGGAATAGAAGGAGGGAAGGTAGAGTAACTGAACACTTTGTATACTGTGAGAAAACATGTGACTTTTTTGAAATTCTCAAAGACAAAAACAAAGAGACTTGCTTCTCTCTTTCAGCAAAGCCTATTCCCACCAATTAAAGCAAAAAGATAACTGTTATAACACACTGTGATTATTTTCGGTTCCAATTAATGTTCTATATAATTAAGTAGCTGCCAGAAAGCACAATCAGGTCTCAGTGCTTTTTTTTTTTTTATGATGTTATGTTAATCACCATACATTACATCATTAGTTTCTGATGTAGTGTTCCATGATTCATTATTTGCGTGTAACACCCAGTGCTCCATTCAGTACATGCCCTCTTTAATACCCATCACCAGGCTAACCCATCCCCCCATCCCCCTCCCCCAGTGCTTTTAAAAATCCTTCATATTGAACAAATAAAACAATGGAAGAATATCAGTAGAGCAGAATACTGTAAAAGAAAAAAAATATATAAACAATATACTTTTAAACAATATTCCTCAATTCTTTTTGTATACTACCCAATATCCAAGTTCCTAAGTCATGAATAATTCACATGTAAGTTTATAAATAACTACAAATATTTCATACTATGGAAAGTTACACTAAATGAAAATTATATCAAATGCATCACTTCATATTTTTAGAGTTTATATCAAAAACAATAATTTATATTGCTTACTCATCTGTCTATCTCCATAGCTGATGGCTTCCGCCAGCGGGCTCCATCCCTGAGCATTTTTCACCTTTACTGGAGCATTGTGAGCCAAAAGTAAATGGGCACATTCTGAAACATAAAGTGGTAATAATATCAAACATCATGCAATTTTTAGAATCTCTAAATATAAAAATCATTTAGAAATTTAAGAAACCAATGTAATATAAATAGATCTATAATATAAACACTGTACCATAAAGAAAAATTTTTAAAAGCCTATATATCTAAACAAGGTTATTTCAGATCCTCAGATTCAAGAAATATCCATTCTATTGCTTAAAAATAAATTGTACCTCTCCAAAGAAGTACTATGTTCCTTAATAACTGTTCCTAAGAGTATTTTGAGAATATTTCCACCAACCCAGGATCCCCTAGAGTAATTTACATCAAAATTCTACTATTAAAACTCAAAAGAGGATTTGTATGTATGTAATGTCAAATGGAAGGTTCCTAATTTATTTCAGAAAAAAAAATGTGCTTTCAAAAGGACCAGTAATGTTTCCATAAACCCTTATTTTTCAAACGTTACAATTCTTTTACTTCAGGAAAACACCCAAAAGAGGAAAAAATCTGTTTATGATTCCAAGGACAAATCTGGACAGTCTTTCTGGTAATCAAAAGAAGTCTAAGGTATAGACTCTTCTACAGGCTGAGGATACTCTTCTTAAAAATTAGAAATAAAAATTATATTAATAGACAAAAATATCAAAACTGAGGCTCACGGAAATTTAGGATGTCTATCCATTCTAAATTTCCTAAATGAATGGTTCATTCAATCAATCATTCAGCAAATATTTACCAAGTGTCTATTATATGCCATTTCTAAGCACTAAGTCCTTGATATAAGCAGTGAGAAGAAAGACACATCTTGCTATCAGAGAGCTTACATCCTTTATTAGAAGAAAATAAGTAAACTAATAAGTAAAAAAAAAAATTTGATAATGATAAGTGCCTTTGATAAGGGCATTATGACAGTGTCACGTACTTGAGCACAGGTGGAAGAAGAATGTGATTCCTAGTTATAGAAGGAATAACTATATCAGCATATAGCACTAGGAATAACTATACTGAGTTTTATTAGAATAAAGTAAAATAAATATAGAAATTTCACAAAGGTGCTTAAAAAAGTCTACAGTAGTATTTAAGAATATAGGTACAAGAGGGGCTGTTGGGTGGCTCAGTCGGTTAAGCATCTAACTCCTGATTTCGTGAGATCAAGCCCTGCATAAGGCTCTGTGCTGGTGTGTTCTGCTTAAGATTCTCTCTCCCTCTGCCCCTCCCCCCAACCTTCTTTCCCTCTCCACCCCCCTAAAAAAAAGAGGGAGAGAGAATATATGTATAAGAATGTATATTCTAGCAGTTTATAATGGCAAGTATACTGGAAACTAAATGAATATCTACCATGGGGGAAAGACTGACTAATGGAATCCATCTATACCACTAGAGTAATAGCCAGCCATTTTTTAAGAATAGTGTCATATCAAAAGGACATAGGAACCAGGCCAAATGGTCAGCTACTGGCCAAATTTGGGAAACTGAGCATCAAAAAGAATAATGATTAGTTATAACACATTAAACTAAAACAATCAATTACAGAAAAATGCCAGCTAATAAATGTAGAAGAAATGGTAGAATTTGAAAATCAGTATATTACAACACCAAAGTAATAACTGATTTAGGCAAATGTCCTCAATGAATGCTAAGGCCACTATGTAAAATGATATGGTGCTGGAAAACAGGATATTCACACGATACCAAAGTATTATTCCAAGATCACTTACTAATTATAAAGAGAAAAATGTTCCTCTCTAGTGAAGATAACTGGAGATCATCAGCCTAAACAAATGACTAAACATGGTGGCATTAATAGTGGCATAACTTGACATTATATGTTTCTAATGTGATGTAATATAAAGTTCATAACATCACCTATGCAGTATTCTTTCCAGAAATATTTAACTTGAATCAAATCAAGCCTTGATACCTAATTTTTAATTTGCAGAAAAGATACATGATAAGGAACAAGTTAAATTACAACATGAGAAAATAATCAGGCAAATCTGAGATGGGAGACATTCTACAAATTGATTGGGCACACTATTCAAAAAGTGAAATACAAAGGAAGAAAAACAAGCAGGCAAACTTTTCTAGATTAAAATAAAGTGACATTAACAACCAAATGCAATGAGTAAATCTTAATTGGTTCTTGATTCAATATAAAGCACAAATAAAAGAAATTTTTGGAACTGGAAAAACTAAAGTATGATTAGATATTAGAGATTATAATAATATTATTAATTTTCTTAAGTGTGATAATGATAGGGGTGCCTGCGTGGCTCAGTCGGTTAAGCATCTGCCTTCAGTTCAGGTCATGATCCCAGGGTCCTGGATCGAGCCCATGTTGGGCTCTCTGCTTAGCAGGGAGCCTGTTTCTCCCTCTCCCTCTGTCTGCCGCTCCCCCCTGCTTGTGCTCTCTCCCTCTCTCTCTCTGTCAAACAAATAAAATCTTTTTTAAGGGCGCCTGGGTGGCTCAGTTGGTTAAGCGACTGCCTTCGGCTCAGGTCATGATCCCGGACTCCCGGGATCGAGTCCCACATCGGGCACCCTGCTCGGCAGGGAGTCTGCTTCTCCCTCTAACCCTACCCCCTCTTGCGCTCTCTCTCTCACTCTCTCAAATAAATAAATAAAT